TTTTTATGCCACTCCCTCCCTGTTAGACTCACCTCAGCTTCCACTACAGTTAGCTGTTGGGATCCCCCTGTCCCTCCAGAAATAGATGGGTTCTGCCCCTCTGCTTGATGGCATCAGGGTACACTGTGCACCGGTGTCCACTATAGCCTTATACACCTGTGGGTCTGACATGCCAGGCCATCAAATCCACATGGTCCAACAAACTCAATTGTCCCTTTCCTCCCCCTGGCTGAATGTAGGACCCCTCTAATCCTAATAGCATTCGTTACTCACTTTCTGTAAAAACGAATTAGAAGTCACTTCAAGAGGATCAGAAGTGAGATCAGCCCTTCTACCCTGTCTGGGGAACTGCCTGCTGGAAACCAGAGCAGCATTTCTCCTGGCTTTTGGATTGTTTTTCCTTGCAACTCACGTACCCGTGCCTCTACGGTTGAGGCAGATTTTCCATCCCGCTCCCTCATGTCCTCTCCGTGGTCACAGAGGTAAAACCTGTGTGGTGGTAGTGGTGTGGCTCAGGGTGTGTACCTTCTGTACTCTCTCTCGAGCAGAGGAACGCTTACTGCTAATAGCTGATATATGGGCCCGTATGAGTCGGGAGTAGAACATATCCTCTTTGAATTGCTGGAACTCCCAGGACAGTTTCTCAGCTATTATGTCTGGCAGTTTCTCCACAGCCGAGATAAGGAAGGAAGAAAAACTTTCTTTGTACTGCCGGAGTTGACCAGCCAATTCATTCACTGGTGGTCCCTCTTCGTCTTTCCAATCAATTACTGCCATTGGCATGTGATGATGGTGCGCTCCGTACAGACTTCCGCCATATGGGCCATGTGCATCGGACTTCATCTGGATCTGTGGGTAACTGTGTGTTGTCGGGGTCACAATAAACCATCTTCCACGGTGGTCCACTTGCCTGGATGACATACAACATCTTCCTTGAAGGGATGCCTTGCCCTTACAACTGACAGAAGTCGCCTCCAGAGGCTGAGGGCTTGTGTCTTTTTTCCAATCACCTTGTCAACGACCCCTTCCCTAGACAGGGAGGGATCCCAGCTGCTTGGCTTCCCTACCCTCTAATTCCAAGCTACTGGCCTCGTTATCCCAGCTTCGGAGCAGCCAGGTAACAATGTGCTCATCTGGACGACGTCTGAAATCTGTCAAGATAGGGATCAGGTGATTACCTCTGGTTCTGCCTCTTCCTCCTGTTCTTGTGATGACCCTGGTTCACCTTCACCCCTCACTAAGCGAACTGATTTTTTTGCTGATTTCTTCTGTATAGGGGTGACTGATACCAGCATGGGCTGGTTCTCTGGTTCAGCTGCAGTGCCTGTTGCTGCGGTTGGGGTAGCTCCAGTGCTTGTCATGAGGGTTGGAACAGCCGCAGTGCCTGTCGGGCTGTTTTCCCTCCGTTCCCCCTGAGGGTGCTGCATAATATCGAGCAGTGTTTGGTAGATAATGGCCAGGACCCAGCACAGTGTGGTGAATTCTGCCTCTTTGGAATAGCCACAGCATTTTCCTTTCAAATATTCTATCACTTTATCAGGGTCCTGTAGCTGTTAGGGAGGGAAGTTCCAAACCATTGGAGGTGAGAAGTTCTCTAGATACCTGCTCATATTCTCCCACATGCCATGCCACCCATGATTATCTGGGTGGTACTCTTAAACAGTTGTTTAACCCTAAACGAGACCCGAACCACATTCAGGAACATGCTGGTACCCAGCAACAGGACCATCCCACAGATATTCAAAACTCTCAAGAGCTATTTTAACTAGCCTGGAGGAGAAGGGCAAGGTGGAGGGAGATGTATCCCCTGCAGATTTGCTCTCTGAGAAAAGGTAAAGAGTGTAATTATTAATAGTTTCCGAGATGGCTCCCTAAGTATGGAAATGATGGCAACGCTGAGTACAAATACTGGATTAGTCCCACGACCAATAATTTTATCATACCATAAGCCAGTGTTACATAGTACAGCAAAGTGAGAACCTTAATCCACCTGCCATGGATGATAAGCAGCAGCCCAGGGACTATATACAGCAAGTGAGGTGCTAACATAACACAACTCTAAGAACGAGTGCCACAACCCTAAGAGCTAATAAATCAACATTGTGACCAGCGATTCTTAAACTAATATAATGAATGCTTATGTAACAAATTTTATTTTAACACGCTCTGGTCAGATCTTTCATTACCTCAACCCTTTGAGCCCCACGTTGGGTGCCAAAAAGGACTGTCGTGGTTTAACCCCAGCCACCAATTAAGCACCACACAGCTGCTCGCTCACTGCCTCCCCCACAGTGGGATGTGGGACAGAATTGGAAAAAAAAAAGGTAAAACTCATGGGTTGAGATAAAGACTGTTTAATAGGACAGAAAAGGAGGGAAAATAGTACTAGTAGTACTACTACTACTAGAATATACAAAACAAGTGATGCACAATACAATTGCTCACCACCCGCTGACTGATGTTGGCCCCTCCTGGCCAACTCCCCCCAGTTTATGTACTGAGCATGATGTCCTATGGTATGGAATATCCCTTTGGTGAGTTTGGGTCAGCTGTCCTGGCCATACTCCCTCCCAGCTTCTTGTGCACCTCCGTGCTGGCAGAGAACGGGAAACTGAAAAATCCTTGACTCAGGATAAGCACTACTTAGCAACAACTAAAACATCAGCAGGTTAGCAACATTCTTCTCATACTAAATCCAAACCACAGCACTGTACCAGCTACTAGAAAGAAAATTAACTCTGTCCCAGCTGAAACCAGGACACATCTTGAATGCTATCTACCACCAAGAATTTGCTTCCTGCTTGTCTGAATACAGACTCCCGCACATACTCAGAGGCACAGTACCATGATGGGTAGCCTGAGAAAAGTTGGATTCATGGGTCCCAATTAGGAGAAAAAAAATGTAAGAATTGTAATCAGCAAATTACACATACTCTGCTGGAGGCAGCCCTTCACTGAAGCATATCTCCTGTGCAGCCAATGATGCTAGTTATTGGGCCAGAATGAGAATAATTAAAAGGGAACTTGACTCCGCAGGCTGGTGAGATGGGTACTGTTGGAGCTGGTCATTTAGTCTTTAAACATTTCAGCATCTGGATAAGGAGTGAGATTTACCCCATTTACCTCCAGACATCCAGAAGAAAGGAGTTAGTTTAAGAAAATAACCTAGTCTCCCTCTATAACTAACAGCATCACCCACCTCTGGAGTGTAATTCATGTTCCCGCTTGCTTTAGACTCTGCCCAGACCAGCACAAAGGCATGCGTCTCTGTTTCTGCTGACTTAAGAGGGAGTCCAGATGATTAGTTCAGATGGCTAAATCTAAGGGAGATGAATCCTACCCTTGGTACCAAAGGACATGATCTGAAAAGGGCCTCTAGAAATAACCTTTCTTATTATAACATAAATCACATAAACCAGAAAAGAGCCAATTTAATATCATCAGTGTGAAAATTTCAGTGAAATATGATTAACATTGTGGTTTTAAATAAACAATAAAGGCAGATGGCAATTCTAGCATCATGAATAGAAAATCAGGAAAAAGCATAAAACAATACTTTAAAACATATGTCTACTCCAACCCTCTAAAAACAGTGAGTCAGAGCACTTGTGATTTCACTCAAATGCATAATGATGTATGGGGGGAAATATAAAAACCTAAGCCAACTTCACTGTGATATACACTTATCCGGACCACTGATGAGAACAAAGTGATAAGAGCAAAAAGAGAAAAGGGAAGGAAAGCTCAGGGACTAGATAAACGGTTTATCCAAATTTGTTGGTGGCAATTCGCATTCTTCAGAAAACTCCAAGTAAGGTGGAAGCACTTCAAGTGTTTAAATTTGGAACATTTCCTTACATTAGGTACTAGCACAATGTAAGTCTGGAAAGGTAAAGAACTACTACAAGAAATACTAGAGGATGCCCTATATGTTTTGGACAACTTTCTTCCTAACAGTTCTGCATGTCTGCATATTTTCTTCTTTAAATTACTCCTTTCCTTCTTCTCAATTCAGTTTTTCCTGGCTATTTTTCTTCACTGTGATATCCACATGAAACAAGTAATGAACATGCTTGGGTTTTATCTTTATTTGCTTTGTTGACCTACCTGTGCTTTCTGTACTATTCACCAACTTCTTTCAATGCGTCAAATACAAAATACACAGGGGAAGCTGATTGGTGCAGCGCCCTTACTTTTACTTTTGTGAAGCACCTAGCTCACCTGAAGGACAATAATATTGCAGTAAAGATTAATCAAATCCTGGTCTCTGGCCAGCAACTGAGACTGTACGTGACTGCTGAGCATCCTTTCTGGTACTTAATTTTTAATCTGTTTTCCTATGAAAACAAGAGTAATGTGATCACTCTGCCTGTACTAATATCAGCAAAACAGACAGAATACAAGTGATCTCAAATCTAATTAAGGTTCCTGCAAGGTCTTGTAAGTTCTTATTATGATGCTCGGTGGCAGAAAGGAGACACGAAGCAGCCTTAAAGCTGCCCATAGACACTGCCCAGCCACTGAGGTTTCTTAACAGTATGTGTCCTCTCTGCTCACTTCAATCCTCTCTGTGCAGGACCATATTATCTAAGATAGAAGGTTTTGCAGGTTGAAAGTAAAAAAGGGATCAGGCAAGACAGTTCCACGCAGAAGGTGGGTAGGTAAAGACAAAATGACTTCACATGCTCCCACTGTGGATAAAGATAAAGACTATATCGTGAACACGTTTTGCTATGCGCAGCATAATTCAAATGAGAGACGACAGTCCAACCTCAGAAAAAGCTTCGCTGGTGCTTGTATCTCCTTACATGCCAAAATAAAGTAACTATGAGATGCAAATACATTATTAATCAGGCTTCATTACTACATAGATTGCTTGTTTAATCTTTGTTCTTAAAGTCAGCTAAGTTTATTTTTACCCAGGCTCCTAAAATAGATATAAATACATCATTATTAAGCTTGAAGATGGCAACAGTCCTGGAAAATTATAGCGCATAGGGGAAAGTTCAGCCTATTATGAGTATTTGAAACAGGAGGTCAGTAGGTTAGGACAGAGCTTTTGGTCACCTCAGATATAAAAGATATGGAGCAGCAGCTGTAATTGGCTCTGAATTAAATTTAGACAGTTAAAACCCATGCAGAGTCTTAGAAGTGAGCTTACATTCCAGTCCAATGAAGTCACATCCTTATTGCTGGGGACATCGTGTCCTCCTTCTCTTATGCAGTGCCTCAAAACTAGTTGAGTGGAACCGCTGTTGCTGTTTTCATTGAGATTCCATATTCTGGCCGTTGAGTCTCCGGATCTATAAAAGCAATTGTGCAGAGTTGAAAACTCCTCTGGGTGTTGACCAAGCAAACAATGCAAAAACTTCTATTTCTGTTTTCATTGAGAGAGCACCACAGCCTTTAAAAAGTAATTTTTCTTTCCAACCCTTCCTGCACTCTGTAAACTTTTAAAAAAATGCTAACACATATTTAAATTATATATATCATCTGAACCCACATCACCACTTGCTTTATTCAGAAAAGTTTGACCTAAAATACATTTGCTTGCTCTCTATATTTTGCACTTCATACCTGAAGTTGCTGTCATCCTAAGTGAGGTAGTCTGGGGCAACTCAACATCACAAACACAACGCCGTGGAGGTCCCAATAATGAATGAAACACAAAGGCTGTGCCCCTGTGCCTCCCATAACAAGTGTGCACAGTCCCATTAGCTCCAAAGGCCGCCCAGTCCCCGGTGTTCCCCCCTGCGCTGTGGCAGGCTCTGAACACAGCGGGGACAGGACCTGCAGAGGTGCAGAGTGTCACCTGGGCAGCAGTCTTGGGGAAGGGGACCTCTAGCAGTGTGACAAAGGTGCTGTGGTGCCAGCTCCCTGGTCCTGCTTGGGTTCCTCTGACAGCTACTGCAGGAGCAGGAGGTGAACTTAAGGCTGATTTAATTTGGCTGTGGCCCTTTCATTAGGTACTTCTGTTCAGGACAGACCTGAACATAGCCTCTGACAGAAGCTATTTACAAAACAGCCTCTCAGCATTAAATCATGCCACAGAACCCAAACATTAGGAAAGTATAAGGGTAATTTAAATTGATTTTTAAAATTAATTTTAATTTCGTTTTTAAAATTAATGTCTACAGGTCCTTTGCTGTCTGTAGCTTGGCTGCTCAGCTCATGTTGTCCAAAAATGCGGCAAAAGTAACTATTGACGTACTAGAGCAAGACAGAGACGGCTTCAAGATTTTAATCTATTTTACGGACTGAATGTTTTCTAGGGAGATCTTTTTATTGCAGGCTGAAACCCTGATTTTGTCTAGAAAAAGTTGTGAGGAGGAAGTGAAAAGTTTATCACAACCTGCTTATAAAAAATGTATTTATTTTCACTTTGCATAAATCTTTCTTCCAATGAAAAATGTCTCTGAGGTCAGAAATGTATTTGCAACAGGGTGGAAGATATTATGGTTTCTAGTTTATTGGAATTTGTCTCTTGCCCACCCCCCCCGCCACTTTTTTTTAAAAACAATCAGTAACAACAACAACAACCAAACAATCAAAGTACCCTGGACTGCTTGTTTTGTCCAGAGGGTAATTTTCGTTTACATGCAGTGAGTATCTTGGAGCACAGTTAGGATATCTGTTTCCAAGAATTCATACAGTCTAGATGAAATTTCATTGTTGAGCTTTTCCTTTTTTTAAAAGTAATGACGAGAACTTCCTTTCCTATACACTATCAAGGACAAAAAGTCTTTCTTCAAAGACTGAAAACCCAAGATTTATTTTTGGTTTGATAAGTTATGTTTTACTGAAAAGGAAATCCATTGCAAGAGAATATTAAGTTTTCTTCTGGTCTACTAATAAAACAATTTAGTTATTTATACTAAACATACCAGGCAAATTTTAAACACTTGACATGGCAAATATTGACAAACCAAGTATTGGACTTGATCGATCTTTGTGTGTTATTTTACCAATAATTTAATCAAATTTTACACGAACAACACTTCAACTGTAAAATCAAAAACCTCTCTGCCTATATCTGTGGCTCTGAGCTCTGCTGGGTCATGGCATGCCTGGGGAATCTGCCCCCATCTCCTCTGAATCCTTCGTGTCAAGCTGAGACGTGATGGCTGGCCAGGGCTTTGACAGCCTGACCACAAGATACAACCATTCTTTAATTTTTGGCACATATCTTTCATGTTAGTGATTAAGAAATAACTGCCACCATACAAGAGCTGTGACTGTAATATAGCTCACTTATTTCTTCAGTGGTCCGGAAAATTCAACAACAGTTTTGCACATGTTGGCTAGAAAATCATGAGGCTCAGAAGTTAAGGAACATTTTCAGTTGTGATAATTTACAATAAGAGGAACCTATGTCCTTCATAGGCTTGGGCTATTGGTTAACATGCTAAGTAGGAAATTCCCTCAGTGCTGGCTTCTCTGCTATATAAGACTCTGGGCCAGTCCTGCCCTCATTGTAATCATCCGGTATGTTATTGGACCACGTGAATAAAGTACTCAGTCACTTTGCTATCAAACACAATATCCTATTTGCTGCTTCTAAGAGGGTCATGTTTTGTTTTTCAACAGTTTTATTTAGTCAGTTTTCTGGCAATGCTCGGGCAATCTTATTTTCCAGTATTTTAATTTTGTTTTTTTCCATTTTCTTCTTCCTAAGGCTACATAAGCTATTATGTGTCCCTGCAGAGAGGCTTTATAAGCCTACCAGTGTGTGGCAGGGGTATTTATGTGTCTTCCCTTTTGTTGCTGGGAAAAAAAAAAAAAAGAGTATTCTCTGCTCTGGAAAGTATTCTGATTTCTGTTGAATGATTCAGTGAACCCTGCCTTATTAAAGGACCACAGTTCAAGCACAATTCAGAAAGATATTTAATCTCCTTAGCCCACAGAAGCACTTCTATCTGCATGATAAAGCAGCTCATTCCATCATGCAAGTCATGAACACTTGAGTAATAGGTATATACTGTTCTGCACTATGGTAGAGTACTGCCAAATTTTAGGAAGGCAAGTTCTGAAAGAATTTTATTTCATGCTTTCCAGACCCGGTATAATCATGAATCAAGGTGCACAAATGTTTGCAGAATTTTATTTGTGACACATAAAATCTCCATTCTGTAACTGTCAGCACAGAGGTTAAAACAGATGCAGTTGGGTAAAGAAATTTGCAAGATGGTTGTTGACCCTTGGTATTTCTCGTGTTCAGGTGCAAGTCTTATAATCACTGTTATTTTGATATGCAATATTGCTAACGTGAATTTAGTACTTCTGGCTCGAACATGTTGGACTTTTTATTATTTTATTTTAAAAGAGATTGTTAAAAGCATAAAGGGAAGGAAACTCCTCCTTGTAATTTACACATCTAACTTTCCTTTAATAAAGCAGGTCTCTAAAAATAAGCGCTCACACTTCCTAGGCAGTCAGTAGAGGGAAGTGCCTCGGAGGTACCCAGAGGGAGATCACTGTCCCACTGATTCTACAACATTGTTCCCTGCAAAAGTTACTCAAGTAGACCTCACCTAACAGCTGACCGCTTTGCATTAATGGATTTGATGCAATGAGGAAACTGGCCCCAATAAACTCACCTGCTAATGAATAAGCACTTAGAGTCAGCAGAATCAACACCTGGCACTGACTAGGGCGGTGTCGTGTGAAATCAACCCCCTCAACCCAGTAATTCCAAGGATTATTCAAAAAGGTAATTCACAGTGGATCCTAAACCACTGATATGAGGAATACAGTAACTCAAAGAATTATATAAAACCCAGAGATGATGACAGGAGACGGCCTAGAAAAATCCTTTCTTGCTTCTGAGAAACACAGCCATAACTGAAAGACCTTGAGCAATGGCTTTTATGGCTAATTATTTTGCTGACTAGGGAGTGAAGGTGCATAGGGCACTTTGCAAGAGACAAAGTTCCCCTGTGTGAAAGAGGCAGGTATAGATCAGCAAAGACAAGCAAAGAAACCTACTGTTGGGTTTTGGGAATGAGGCCAGGTCCCTCTGCTTCATGGCTATGAGAATTACTTGAAGGGCATGGCTGGACGTTAAAGAACAGAGCACGCTCTTGGAAGCAGCAGTTGAACATGCTGACAAAAACATCTTAAATTCAACAGGAAAAGCTTTTTGAGTTCAAGGCTCTAACAGCCTTGACACTCCCAGTTCATGAACTTCTATAGTGGGAAATTCAAGCATGTTCAGGAACACTCTGGGTCACCAGACCATGATGACCTATGCTAGCAAACTGATGGGTTATTCCCTGGCCAGATTTTGGCCTGTTTTAATTAGCACTCCTGTTGGGGCCCTGATGTTGTCTCTGAGTAACTCCTGGGCATGGCTTGGTGGTTACAAAGTCCAGAGACAATTCCCAATGTGGAGTTTGTTTGGCAGCAAGGACAGTTTGCTAGCACAGACACTGGCTTTTCTGTGCCAGTTGGCCTCAGTGCCTAGGAATATTCCCAGGCATGGTTAGTTTACTAATGTGGATGTAGCTGTAATGGGTTTCTGCATTACCCAGGGAACATAACCATCTGTAAGAATTTACATGTGTCATAAAATTAAAACCTAGATATTGAAAGATATCTCATGGAAGAAAACAGTCTTTGAAGAGAAGGACAATGGGCTTCTAAGAGCAAAATTGGAATTATGGCTGGGAACGGACAAATCTTGAGATTTAGCCAAGCACCTACTTTTTTTTTTTTTTTCCTCTCTTAACCTGTCCAAAACACTATAAGCATTATTTCCTTTGGAATGTTGATTTCCTTCATAATGGGTAATTAATCCTCATGGCTTTATGTATTCACTTTACTGTACTATTACAATGCTTCTGTTCATAACATCTAAGCATTCTTCTCATAGGTATCTAGTGACAGTCGTGCCTTTGATAGCCTTTACTGGTATCTCTAGTCTCCTCCATCCTTCACTTTAAGCGTTATGGGTGTGGTGGAGGAGGAAGAGCAGCTGCAGAATGTATTTTTTCTGGCTATTTGATCAGAGAAATTCCTGTCTCCACTGTTTGGTTTTTTGCAAAGTCCAGAGAGTATATATTCCTGTTCTAGTCTTCACAACGTGAAAATCATAGCAATTGAGTAGATGGGACATCAAATATCAAAATCCCTTTCTATCAGTGGGATACTCACCAAACCTGGAGACCAATGCTCTAGTTCCAGGTAATTCATTCTACAAACAAATCCCCTTACACAGCTTGCTTCAGATTAGGTTGCGAACCTGCATTATATTCTTTCAGTGCTTTGAAGATTACATCAGGTTGCTGCCTAAACTACCGCTAATTGTTAGAAAAATGTATTGTTTGTATAACAAGGCTTGAAGAAAATACTTTGCCATGAATTGAGATTCGATTGTGCTAGGCACTTTACAAACACAACAAATGTGTTATTTCCTTCACTTAATAGTTAGGTTTTTATACGTATTTTTTAAGAAGCAGCAGATGGGTACAATCAGGCAGATGGGAAACCAGAAGAAAACTATGGACTGGGCAGCACAATATGGCTATTATAGAATCTTACAATTTGGTGTTCACACATCAGACTAACCGTGGTTTTCTTTTTTGAAGCATTACTTCGTAAAGGACAAACAGAACTGCAGCATACTGTAGATCTTGGGGAATCTCTCCCCCTTGTTTAATTGGTGCTGTAACATATAATTTTCCTGTAGATGATAGCTTACACTATTATTATACCAGACATCTCAAATGCTTCTTTGTGCAATGGCATAATCAGTCACTCAGCTCTCGTCCTTCAGTTTCATTTTCTTCTGTGCATTCTATGCCATTTCAGTCACGTAAGCCTCAGCAGGCACTCGCTGCTGCATTATCTGAAGGCTAACCGCACCACATAAAATCTGATCGAGATGCACGTGGATCTGAATTATTTGCATTTTCATGGCATTGCCATTAGTCTGCAGGAGACACAGCACCTGACTGTACTTTCTAACCATGCATGTATTTATTTACGTGCTTCCAAAACCAGTAGCAATGCTTAGGAGAGACCTGTTACACTGAAACGTAAAGCTTAATGGAAGGGACAGTACGAGGGTACTCCTCTATCTTAGCCACCTGACTGATGGTTCTGATTATTGTCCTCCTTGTTTACCTGAAGCTGCCTAAGATCCCACTGTCCCAGCGACCCATCTACCAGTGCTTAGCACCTCACATCAAAGTTAAACACCCACTGGTTGGTTCCTTGGTCACTGAAGTACACACTCGGGTTTATTAAAGTGTCCACCGTTTAAACTATGCATGCTAGGACTGTGAACCACAGATCCTAGGGAAGCAGTCCAGTATGGCAAGCACTGGCAGAGAGGTGAGTCAGACACTGGGAAGCAGTTATCAATGCTAAAGCCAACAGATGAGGTCCGAGCACCTACCCTTAGGAGTCTTTAACTCCCTATGTAATGAGTTGAGAGATGTAGGTACCTGCAGAGGGACAGAGCACTTGAGTAGATGCCTAATTTCAGCTGTGCAGATATTCTCCAGAATAAAGCAGCATCTTCACTTCATCTCAGGCGCCACCAGGTGACCCTAAAGAATAATTCTGTATGGTATCCTTTCTCCCCACCAATTTTCCTTTAGATAATAATGGGGGTGTGCTAACTGATCACCTGCAGACTGCTCTCCATAGAATTCAAATAAATACCATAATGGATAAGTTTACTATTAAAAAGTGTATTGTTTAGGATGACATGGCTAAAGGAGATCTATGGTATCAACAAATACAGTCCCTACATTTGAATGATCCTACATATGAGAGCTATTGATCTCAAGACAGCTCATGAAATTCTAATTAAGTTTGTCCCCACTATGGGAAAGCTCTTCCAGATTTTAGGAAACCTTCTTTGGATTTTCATCTTTAATAAGAAACCACCATGAAAACAATTTAATGAGGTTAACTAAATTATTTTTAGTTTTTGAGGTTTTCTTCACTATTAGGCCATGATCTAACATTTATGGGTAGTCAAAGCCCTTAGGCATACATTGAAAAATTAGAGTAGTAGTACAGGAGCACGTTCATTCAGGATTATTTGATGCTGATTCATAAATCATTCTGTAGGCAGTAACATTTCCTGTACATCACAGATTCTTTGCCTTCCCTTGATTCACTTTTTTTCCTTGAAAACATCCTCTCAGAGTTGGGCTGGGACAATGAATACCATATGCTACAGTTCTTCCACATTTGTCAATCCTAATTTTTATTTATTTATACATTAAATAAATCTTTTTATGGCTCGCTCAACTGTATGCTGGGAAGAAGACAATCTGTTTCAGATAATTGTTTCATACTTGCCTATTTTAACTGGAGACTGACCTTAAAGATCAAGACTTCCCTTCCTAACAGTAATCATTTGCTAGGGATAAGTAATACTGCCAAGCAACACTGCCTGAGACAGTAGAAAACTGAGTGGGTAGAGGAATGCAGTTAGCAGAAAATACAGCAAATGCATGGTACAGGAGCATGGCTGCTCTTACTGCTCTTGTCGGTATCATGCCATCACCCAGTGACCCTATCACAAACCAGAAGACCCACTGAGCCTATGGAAAAAAGTTTTTCATCCCCAAACCCTACATTTAGTTTTTTCAAATTCCACCACTATATCTGTTTAAAATTAATATGTGAAGATATTTAGTGCTACAGATGCGAAAAGTATTGTCAGGCCTGGACAATTCCGGAAATGAAGCATATTCAGCAAGATTCTGTTTTCTAAAAATCCAGTCTGTTGTCTGAAATGATTCTTTGGAAACTTGTCTTCACTCTCTTAGAGATCTTGTGCTGTTTATCCAACCTGGCATTTGTTTTTCCCATTTATCCTTTCCCATTTGCATTCTAATTCCTTGTTTTCATGTATTAAGTCAACAAAGTAAGAAGACTATTCTGATATCTTGCAAAAAGTTGGAAATAAAATAAGGACTCTCCTCTTCCTTGTAAGAAATGTGTTCTGATACGGCTAAGCAACTTCAAGTGATGAAGAACCATTTATGTCCTCTAACTGATATCAACTTTCCTCCACATTATCAGCTAGACTTCTTAAATTTAGCTTTCATTTTAAGGTTTAACTTTAAGCATGAACGAACACAGGTTCCAACAGTGTCTGTATATAGCTCTTGGGGTATGTTTACATTAACATTTTTGTTTGGTTCAAAAGTGCTTTTTGTAAGTCAGTCTCGTGACTGTCCCACCTACCATGCTTTTTTGGTTGTCATTGCTGAGCAGTCCTGCAGAACACAAACTAGACTCCTTTCCAATGACGCTAAACGAAAACATGGCCTCAAACCACTCCTTAATGTTCAGCTCCTCGGACAAAACTTGGTCCAGCCTGAACCCCCCCTTCCATCCCATACAAACAGCGGCGACATAAGGGCCTCACACAATAGTTTTGCTCTACAGATCTACTCCTGTTTGTGTACCAGGCTAATGCAGACATAGCCAAAGACCTCCCAATGTGAACTATTAACTAACAGCAGTAGGAGCAGATCACATAAACTTCAAATACTCGTGAAAATTATCCATGGTTCTTCTAAAAAACCTAAAAAAATTATTTATGTCTATCCAGGGCCACAGAGCACACATCTGAGATGTGCAAAAGCTTCGTATTCTGCGTCACCTTATAATGACTTAACTGCTACATAGGTACAATACTGCTGAAAAAACCAGTTGCAGGCTGAAAAAACAGTGAAGAGCATACTCGTTCATCTCTAGGACACACTCGCAAGTTCTTGCATCTCTAAATACACTCTAATTGCAGCAGCTGGTTTCAGTGATGGTCTTACCCAGATGCTAGCAGGTCACTGACAGGGTTCCAGGCACAGATGAACACCTCTGATTCATGGCCCCGAAGGACTGTTGCTTTGTTAGGAGGAATTTCAACATCCCCGTCAATTTCCATTGGCTTTGAATGATTATCTGTAAGGAGATATATCAGAATAAGTAGTCTGCAAGATGCTGTTAGGTCTGCTTTAAAAAGAAGCTGGCTACCCATGGCCTAAAGCTTACAGCAACGTATACACTGTAAATAAAGTGTCACTGACCATATTACTCTATTTTCTTCCCTATGATGATTCAAATTTATGGTATTTCCTCAAAATGTAGAGCTTTCCAAAATATTTTGTATAAATGCACATAGCTTTTCTTCCAAAAATAGTTAGCACTTATTTTAGTTAGGTTTTTTTTGAAGCTGGCTTCATTGAAAAATTCTTACAGATTTATTAAAATAGCAGATTGCCACATTTGAGAAAGCTTTATGCTGTTCTTTTAAAAAAGCAACAGATGTTTTCTTAAACAGTGTCCTGCAAGTAATATGTGTGCTACTCACAGATGAAGAATATACTGAGTAAGGGCCTCATTCCCTGAGCATGGCAGGGAAATGGTGAGTGATCACCTTCTCAAGGACATCATAATACAAGCAAAGGTACCAAACTGAGACATAAATATACTTATCCTGCACACTGTAATTCTGGGGTTCTTTAGACTGCAGTCTAAGTAACTTTGTTTTTAAAGCTCTTTTATTTCCTTAAGGAAAAAAAAGTGAATTAAAAATGATGAATTTCTCTTAGCGGCAGCAATTCATTCCAATCTGCATCACGAACAATGTTTTCACTCTAGATTTTCATTGCTTCAGTATAAATCTTCCTCATTCAGCTCAAACTACACTTCCTGGCAGCAATGCAAGATTATTACCCTCTGCGAACAAGACACCAACTGAAGGCAGGTAGCTGAAACAGCAGACACCAGGTGTTGCACACAAGCGTGGCCCATTTCACAAAAAGCACATCCAGGAGCGCATAGCTGGCAGGCTGGGGGAAAGGCAGCCTCATGTTAACTAATCAATGCCTTGGCCAGCTGATCTGCTCTGATTGACCAAAATGCAAGTTCTCTTTCCGGGTTATGTCTTTTAGTTAGTCATTCTTTAATCCACAGGCTTGCAAGTGGAGCAATTATGCTCCTCTATTGCCACGTGTTTATGGCATTTAAAATCAGCCATCTGCCCAGATACTCAAGCTCTGCTGAGCTGTTATTGCCCATCGGCTGGCAAAACAGATTGTGACGTTGCACAGCTGCCACTGGAAGGAAGATCTCCACATTTCTACCCTTACTCAGGCTTTCAAATACCCTGTTTTGCTGGGGCTAATTTATGCTGAGTCACACAAGTAGCACTTCTTGTATGTTTGCTTAGGTACCCTATTAACTATGTCTGTGCCATATCTATGCCACAGAAGGCATGGAATCCACATGTAATTCAATGAGTTGCATGCAACTGAGCATCAAAATTAGAAAACAACTAACAGTAGTTTCACAGCTCACATTTCTAACTCAAAATATCTGGTTTTTTAGCTACGTTTATTACCTACGGACCTTTTGCATAAAACTAAACATACTACGTAGAATCTACACCTATGCTGAGGCCCCATGTTAAGCACTGCCCTTGATAATTCCCTGTGTGTATAACTACTAAAATTAATACTGTCAAGATACACTAGTAGTTGAGATTTAGGCTCACACTTGCAGCTGGGAACTTTTGATACGATATTCTGAGCAATCAGGGCAATGAAGTGCAAAACACTATTAAAACCCACCAGAAGATATGAGTCTAGAACTCGTAATCCTCTATTTCTCGGCACAGCACAGAATCACCAGGTTTAAACCATATTTTCATAAGAAAAACAGCAGCATGGTAATGGTTATGCATTCATATGTCCCGTTCACAGTGTGAGCTGGAAGCTGGGGCTAAACCAAGAAGATCTTTCAAGCGTTTTAGTTTGAAAAATTTAAATGAGATGCTGCTCTTACCACATATGATCCTGCTGTTACCTGCGTGGCTCTAAAGGAAGAGCTGCTAAAACCGAATGACAGCTTGGAAGCAGCATTACTCCAAGGTCCCAGAGTCAGAAGGTGCTATCAGAGCAAGGCCATCTGATAGTTAGAAATATTTTTCGTTTCTACATGGCCAGATGGAGGAACCTAGATACACACTTTGAACGTTATTAACTGCTGTGAATAAAACCACAAATAGTTATGCTGTGTGACTGGCTGATACCTGCATTAGTACATGCAAAACTGATTGTCCTCTGGGAGCAATGAAATACCTGCAGGATTATTTTCTGTTGTCTTTCAGTAATGATTTTGACACTACAGCTTTGGTGGTTCAGGAGAAAAGGGAGGGAAAGATGAGGAGTCTTTCAGAACACATTGTATGTGTTTTCTTCCTATTTTCATCAGTAGTCAGGAAAGTTCATATTTAGAGTGTTACTGTTAAGCACAAAACCCAAAATGCCCCACTGAACAAACAGGACAGTTCATGCTTCTGCAATCCTGCTTCAGGCTCCTCTCAGATTCAAACAGACACTAGCAATATAAAACAGATACGATTATAACAACAAAAAACTGCAGAAACCCCTGAGCACAAGATGGCATCCTCATAAGAGTGCTGAGTTCCTTAAACAGCATGAGCTCTTGTGAGATCTGACCTCATCTGAAAATTTGGTTCTCGTATGGATGCAGCTACAGTGTGTGCATGGGGAATGAGAATAAATAGTTAAGTAAGATGCAGTAATCATCAAGAATAGGCTTTTTTTTTAAAAGCATCTTCAGAGCAGAAAGCTCTTGGATAAGATCTCATTTGCACAAAGAACGCCTCTGAGGGGGACTCTGAAAAAGAGGGCAGTTCTACCAAGTGCAACAGACCCTCATAGGTGAAAAACTTAAGTCTACAGGTCATATAGTGGAGGACCCTGCCCAAATGTTAACATAAATAATTTTCTAAAGGCTAGAAGATCTTTGGTTAAGTCTACGCTACATTCTTCTAATCTTTTTCCTCAAACGTATTAAAAATCCCAAATCACTGGACATTAAAAGTCATATTCCCCCAAACTATTACGATTAAGTTTTAAAAACGAAATAATTCTAACATACCAGTGAGTAATATTACCTCTATTTCCTCCAAATTAAAAAAAGATACATTTTTAATATCTTACCAGTGCTAACCCCATCTTTTCACAGAAAATGTGGGTTTTTACTTAAATCTTTGACAGGCCTTTCTGTCAACCTGACGTTGGTTCTTTACGGCTGTAGTTGCAATAAAGGAACTAGGCTGAATCTTTTTTCCAGAGCTTTATTTTTCTTAAACCCACGCCAACCCTTGCAAATATAACGAAACAAATGACACTAAAAATATTTGAGTTGGAAAACAGTCCTAAGTTTGGCTCCATTTCTACATGCCAATCTTTATTTTTCCTACTAATTTTTAAAGTGACTCAAAGCTGAAAACATTATTCAGGAAGCAGCAAGAGAAGGAAATGATTTTATTTATTTAGTATTTGAACCTGCACCTCAAACTGTTGTTATTGTTAGGTTTTTTTTCTGTCTCTTCTTTAATCAAATCACCCTATCATATTATATTGGTAACATCACATACAAAAATGTATCATATTATATTAAAAATATTAACACTTTTTTGGGTAAGACTTACAATGTCAGGGAGAACTCCATGTCAGAATAAATGCAAACTAGGTAATTTCCCAAAGACAGGTCTTTCACCTGCTCCCCCCATCCTGCCTTTTTATGACAGGTTGATATAGGGGCGAATTCCAGGCTATGACTAAGGACTAGCACACTATCCACATCCGTCCCAGTATATGCCAGTTCTGTGGAATCTAACAACAGTGAAAATGAAGGTTTGGGAAGTTTCTCACACTTTCCCCTATCAGCAGTCTTTTCTACCCAGCAGGTCTCGCAGCTTTCACTTTAGCCATCCTACATGCAGTCCTAAACTTCTGCTTATCCATCCTAAACCTTTTGTCCTTATCTAAGCCATTTTACATCCTGTCCTAAACTTTTGTCCAATCCTATCCTAAACCTTTTGTCCTAAGCTAAGCTCTTGCCAGATCGTTCATCTTAGTCTATCCTAGACTAAACAGACTCTGAACATGGTGATAAGGGAAAAGGTAAGGCTGGATATACAGTTTGCCTCGCACAAGCAATTAAAAGGAAGGGTATGACCCTCTTCTTGTTTCATTAATGTGACTGTATTTTTCTAACTATACCACAAAAGAGGGAAATACAGTTGTAAGAGTGTTAATCAGATCCATGCAGTAAATTACCAGCTGGATTTGTCAGTCTTTATTTCTAGTGGTTTCTGATAATTACAGAGGCAGATCTCTTAGACATTTAAACAGGTCTGTTCAAGGGTGAGACTGCCAGTTTTGCAGTTCTGTGTGCAACTCCTGTGTATAATACTGTCTGCAGTTGTTCTACACCACCTTGCTGATATTCTCCGAATGCCTCAGACAGAAAGATTAGAAACCTCCCAAGGCAAGGGAGGAACACAGATCAGAGTCAGTTGTCCCTGGATTTCTCAGCAGCTTCTCTCCAAAGCCTCCTTCTCCTTAAACTGCCAAGCTTACCTTTTCACCCAGGATGACCAACTGGCACAACAGCAGCTGACAACAGCACATGCCAGCTGTCAGCTACTCCTTGAGGACTTTCTGTCTTCCCATTGCCACTGCTCAATTCACTTGTCTGCCTGGTAGGCTGCTTAGCCACAGTAATGCTTCAAAATTTGCTGTCTGGTAGTGTATCTCATCGGTTGACAGGTATCCTACCTCTGTGAAATCTTACTGGACAACACAGTGTCGTGTTCTTTCATCCTGCTCCAGACAGAGCTAGTGGATAATATTAAGTCATACAGGACTTCTCAACACTCCAAGAAAGGTCTGCAATTCTTCATGAAAATCTTTCTATTAAAAATTGCAAATTATTATTTTTTAATAATAAAATGGCAGATCTGAGAAATCAGGGCTTAGAGTGTGGTCATACATCTGAACTGATCTGCAAGGCCTTCCTTTTAGTAATATGATATTATGTGGGTTTATTCAGATCAGGAGGAAGTAAGTCTGAGCAGTTCTGTATTAGTTTCAGTTAATCAGTCTCCTACCTTAAGAATTTGGGTTTTTTGGTCCTAAGATAGGAAGGCATTCCCCCAAAATTTTCACAAATCAGTTGAAGGAGAGTGTCAACAAACAAAATGTCAGTGTTTGATACACTGAAAAGTGCTTTCATTTCCGTTTGCACCCCTTCACATACAAAATAAGTTCTATTTCAAAACAAAAGGTCAGTTAGAAGTAAAACATAAGCAATCCACAGTCTAAAATCAGATCAGTGTTTTCAAATTTTAAGAACTTTTTTACAATTGCTTTCTCAAATGAAAAAGGTAATTTAAATCATTGCAGTTTTACTGGGGAGAACTATCCTGTCTAACTGGAATTCTCTGAATAAAAACCTGGTTTGAAAGCATTTTTCTCACTGACACACAGAGGAATCTACTCAGATCAAAGAGAAGACGGAGACTGACAAAGTTATCTACACTGCAGAACAAATAAAGTCTGTTCGTGACTACAGTTGTGACCTGTTGCTTGTCTAAGCCAAAGAGCTGTTGGGGCTTCCTACAAAACCTGCCATGCACGTTCCTCTAGAATTTCCTCAGAAGGCAATGAGGCATTCAGGACTCATTTCAGAAGTTAACCAGTGCCCTCACATGGCATGCACACAGAAACCAGAACCATTAATCACATCTGCCCCACAATGTTAGCACAGTTGTCAAGATACACAAGCAGGTATGTCCACTCCTTGTTTTATATGTCTGACTTCAGATGTCTTAAGATACGAGTGCAGTCTGCTGCCATTACCAATAAACAAAGGCAAATTCAGAGCTCTTGAGAACTGACTGTTCCCACAGACTAAGGAAATCTTGGTAAGGTAGGACCTTCGATTAGATATCTGCAGTGGACTGTTATGACTAAGAACGTGCTATCAAATAAAAAGGTGAGGAGCTCTTTCCTCTGTACCTTCAAGACAGGTTGGCTGGATCCAAGCTGGCTGCTGGGAACGGTCCTTGGCACATGTGACCCCCCCCCATCCTGTGCTTGGCCATGCTGTTCAAGAATGGATAGCTGGTATAGGCCAAACTGTGCCAAGGACCATGCCAATAAGGCTACGGATGATCCTGTGCTTGGCCATGCTGTACACGGATGGACAGCTGGTATAGGCCAAACTGTGCCAAGGGCCGTGCCAAGGCTATGCACGATCACAGGACAGTTAGTGCTCTAGGCTATGCTCTGGCTGTGCTTCATTTACAGGGATACAGCTTGTAGGTCCCAGCCTCTCCATCCATTTCCCTCCTAGCCTGGCCAAAATGACCAAGTGGGGCTACAGCTTGTCCCAACTTCTATCAAATATCTAAAAGCACCTATAAAGATGATAATCTTAATGACATCTGGATAGTCTGATCCAAGGAGAGAGCACACAGTTCCACTTCTTGATACTGTCTTCAGCTTCCAATTCTGAAGATACCTGAAGTGTTTAGATTCTGAGAGGACACCAGTGAAACACAGCATTGTGACGTGAACGTGATTTTTGCTCAGCAGCCTTTCTAGAAATATCCCGCACTCTTGAAATGATTCCCCTGAGTTCTACCGCCTTGCAGACCCCAACTAAGTTCAAGAATATTATTGAAACTCAAATTGCCCAGCAGTGGCAAGCAGCTGCATGGGTTGGCTTACTTATTGCATGTGCCCCATTCTCCTCTCCATTCACAGTGGCTTCTCCGTTCTTTGGTGTGTTCTGCTGGGAAACAGCAGTCGTCGTTGCTCCCGCTGTTGCTGCCGTTGCTGCCGCTGCTGCCGCTGCGCTGGCTTGTTGCTGAGCTAGTTTCTCTCTGAATGCTTGCTGTCGGGTCTGAACAACATCGGGCATCACCGCGTCTATCAGAGACAGCGATTCTATTGGCCTGCCGTCAAATACCGTACCATCCTGCAGGGAAAACGAGCAGAAGTGAAACTGCAAGTTTAGGATCTTCACCATTGTGGTGATGATATATCATGAGGTCATGATATAAAGAAACAAAACGACACCGTGTGAAGATACTGCACTTTAACTTGACCAACAGTGCCACATTACAATGGACCACCTCCCTCTCAGATCCGTGACAGTGGCACTCACGTTCCACTTAGAAATATGTTTGGTGAACAAGTAATTTCTTGGAATTTTATAGGAAATTCAGGCATATAAGCTCTTTACATATGCAAAAAAATTATGCTGTGGAAAAAAAAAGGTCTGATTGATGACAGAATGTTTCTCTTTGTTTTGTATTTGGAAAAAAAGTCATGACTAAAGCCATGACAAAGGCAAAGGGACTTTGGTTGAATTGTTTGTCCTCCTGCACTTGCAGGGTCATACGAATGGAAGCAGCTGACGAATAGTGAACCTCAGCCAAAACAAGACGTATGCACTAATTCAGTGGTTTCTTACACAGCATTCCATTAGCCCAGCACCACCAGTTGTAGCTGATTGTACAGGACTGCTTTACCATTATTTTTCCTTTATTCTGCCAGTTTTAGTCATTTTGATTTCTGTGAATTTGGCTTCAGGTTTAACAACCAACCAAGTTAACCTTTAAGGGCTGTTTTTTAAGACTTAATAGAGACCCAGGTCAACAACTGCTATATCTATTTAGCTTTGCTTCACTTTCACTTTCCTGTTATCTTAAATACAGGAAAAAGGTTTTAGTAGCATCCGTAAAGTGCCATTTTACCGATCATCTGTAAACTCCCTTAATTCTTTGAAATAATCAAGACCCAGCAGTGAGAGATTTGTGTTTGTGGAATAGCAGATAAGATTAGGATAGGGACAGATGAAGTAGCTGGGAAACAATATAATTTTCAATAGACAACAATAATAAAGAAAAATAGCCATTTGGCTGACTAATATGCTTCTGTTGGACTAGTCATTGAATTACCCCTTACAATTACAATATTAAGATAATACATATTTGTTTCCTCTTAGGGAAGAAAAAGGAGGAAAGAATCATTAGAGAAGAAAAATATAAGCTCTCTTTCTCCTCAACATTTTTTATGTAAATGTCTCTACTGACATTTATTTGAATCCTGGCTCAAATCCTTGCTACACAACGAAAAAAATGTTTCCAATGGATTTTGGCATCTTACATTTTTAACTGTAAAACTGCTCACTGGACTATTTCCATGACTGTTGATCACAAACAATACTTAAATTTTATACATATTAGTGTACAGACTCATTGCTGCTCTTAGGTAACATACAACTGAGATGTGACACACAGAGAAGCATACATGTAGCCCTTACTGGCATTCAGACGTAGCATGAATGGCCTTTGCTTTGCTGTAATGTACAAACCAGCATGTATTTGAACAGAATCAAACCATGATGAGAGCAACATAAATCTTAATGGTGACAACACACATACTTTTAGACTATTCTCTCATCTGAGGCCAATTTGGAAGCTGGATGCACAGGAGCAGAACCCTACAGCTGCCGTACGACCTGAACTGATAGGTGCTGTTCATGGCTGGAAGTTTCTAACTGTGTACCTCCAATTGCAGACACAGGGCAAAATGTTAAGTAGCAGCAAATCGGGATGGATTCCTAACACTGGTTTGTTATTACAATTGCATCAAAGTGCAGCTTGGCATGAATGTCAAATGTCATTGCCCTGATTAAAAACTAACACATAAACAACTCTTAAACGCTGTATCGAGACATAAAAAGAAAACCACACACAACATCAGCGATAAAAACAAACGAGTTTCCAAACTACAAATCGCAAACCAACATTTCCTCTATTTTATATTCCTTTGTTCTCACCCATGCTGTTCACATGCTACATTCAGCTATAGAGAAAAAAGCAATAGCTTTTTATGTATTAATATTTTTTACAGATCCCTGTCAAATATGAATATCTATGGTAAATATTTTGTATTGCAGAACTTGCTTATCTGTCATGCTTCACTCCCTCTCAAAGCATCACACCTTTAGGCTCGGCAGAGCAAAAATGCTGGCTTTTCCCACATCCCCTCTTTGTTTCCCCTGGCAGTTCAAAGAGAACAGAGAGACTTTGTGGCTGCGCATACAATCCCCACAGACAACCAGTGCCTCAGCCAGGGTCAGAATTTACACACAACCGTTTCACCATGTACATGAGAGGACGATGCCTGGTCATACGTGATCTGAGCCAAAGCCACTGAATTCAGACAGAACGTCTCCAGTGACCTCCGTGGATTTCTGATCAGGCTTCTCAGGGCTTGCAGGCAGCGCTGCCTGTTAGCAGGTGCCAGGGAGTGAAGTTCTAACCTACGCTGCAGGCTTTTCCTGCCAAATTCTGCGGTGACCTTGAAAACGCAAAGCTGTAAACACAGACGCATTTTCTTGTTTGCTGCAAGAATCTGCGCACCCCGGATTTGTTGACTGGGGCAGTGGAAACACCATAAAATCCACTTAAGCAGCGCAAAGGTGGCCTCAATGGCACAGCTAAAAACTGAAATATGTTTGTACCTCAGAGCTTTTCATCTCTCTGCTGGGGGTGGGGCACAGCATGAGGAACAAAACGAAACCAGATCAAGAGAAGCCGTGGAGCGGTGGCTTGGGTCTCCAGGCTGTTAGGACGTGTCGTTTTGCAAGCCCCGGCATGAAGGTCAGCGGTGTGAGGGGTGCTGGCGGTGGTGGGGGCACGGGGGTACTTACTTCGTTGATGCTGATCTCAGCCTCCACATACTGGAGCCCCTTCTGGAGGATGGAGATGAGTGCGGCAGGTGGCACTAGTGTTCCGTTGATGTTGGACTGGCTGATGTGGCTCTCGATACCGAAGGTGAAGGCCGAGTGGGAGAAACCTGAGAGCAGGAAAAGGAAGCCATGACATGAAATCTAAACGCACCAGCCAGCTACACCTTCACGGTCTAAAAATAATTCTGCTCCGAGATCTGAGAGACGCTGCCGCGTAGGCAGAAGGACGTGGGCTGGCTGCACGGAGCCAGGGAGGTTAACCAGAGCCATCCTGACCATCCTGCCATCGTCACCCCATCCCCCTCCCCTGCGTGCTGCACGTATAGGGGAAGCCGTATAGAAATGGAAATGCACGCAGAGAAAAACAACCAGAGAACTGCACTAACTGAAAACAAAACCAAACACATAAAACCCCAGAAATTGCCACAAGGGCAAGCCCAGCTGGAAAAAGTGCCTCAAATCTTCATTTCCCTTGCTGCGTTTCAGTGTTGGTGTTCGCTGAAGCGAAATACTTACATCCCTATCAGCACACAAGTTGTATAAAATCAAGGCATGGATGCAGCTGACACAGGGGAGCCATTCCCTTATTCCAGGGAAGAGATTTCAAATCCTCTGCTCGTTTATTGCTGAGTACAATAGGACAGGCACAACATTGCCATTAAAATGTGAAACAACAGAAAGGCCACTCTCGTAAACCTATTTTCTGAAAGGGAACAGTAATAGCAAAAGTAATTAATTGGGGTCTGCCAAGCCGCAGACAACAAGCCAGAGCGGTGGCCCGTCCTTTAACTGAAAGTCTTTCTCTTCCCTGTTTCATTTTTGTCACTGTCTGAGAAATAAGGCGTAATGAAGGTGACAGCACTGAAAATCAAGGAATTTTGGTGGACAAATTTTAAACAGAGGTGCCGTAAATGCCAGCTGAAGCTGTTCAAAACTGTTGCTGGGTATGAAGGCAAGTGCTGCAGAGCGACTGTATGTAGGGGCAGATGCGGGAGGGGGAAGGGGGAACAGGATGTAGACATAACTGTAGGAACCCATTTATCACCACACTGTCTCCAGAGCATTAATCTAACATTAAAAGCCTTGGGGAAACCACCCATGCGCCGTCTCAAACAGGAAGAGCCCTCACAGTCTCCACCGACTAGACAAGAAAAAAAAAAAAAGAAAAAAAAGAAAAAAAAAGAAGAGAAAGAAAGCAGCTCTCAAATGAAAATACTTCCGTTAAATATAGCTGTGCCTCTTCCCCTTGTCAACAGTAGTTTCATTTATAGTTTTGTCCGTTAAGGGATTTCCCCCATATCACTGCAATGTCCAATTGTGTGTGGGCTGGAGGACAGGATTTTGGGCTTGCTCCACAGTAATGCTTTCCCTCTCAAATTGTTTTCAAGATCCTTTTTGCAGCTAGCTCAATTATGATCATAGATAGATAGCAAAAACAAGCTGAGAAACAGAATGCCTCCCACATCTGAAACCAAGGTAAGCATTTCTCTGTGATTCTCTCCCCCTACATATTTTGCCACTGTTTTTCTCCTCTTCCTGGTAACAGCCTCTATCCTCTCCCTTCCCGACCCTACCTTCCCTTCCTGGCATTCCCCTAGTTTTGGGGGATGCTTGGAAAGCTTTGGATACTTTTTAGGAAGTGGCAGGTCCACCTACAAGCAGAATTATGTAGGACTACAAGGCACAAAAATAAAGCACAGGAAAAAACACCTGAAAAACAGCAGCATCATTTACTTAGTCCCTGGTCCAATTCTTACCCTGTACTGCTCTTTATGTCCTGGTCTAGTTTATGAGCTGCTGGACCTCCTGCTGCATCCAAAATAGACTGTAAGATCTGCAGGGCAGTGTTTTTCCTTTGTTACTAGTTTTGTAGGACATCTAAGCACATTACTGGGCACCACAATGAGGAAGAAACCAGGCACTGAGCACACAGCCTGCATCTGAGGGATTTAAGGCTTGATCACTGAACACTGAAATCTCTATGTATATATCTAAATACATGGTGTGCAACTAACCAGAATTAGAGAATTATATCCCACTTAATTCATATTTATGTGCATTTCAATTAATCAACAACAACAGTAAAGATACCTTCTTGAAAAGGAATGGACTTCAAAATGCGTGACAGATAAATCAGCAAATCTACTCAAGGATGGAGAAGAATGAGAAAATTAAGCTGTTGTCCAGAAGCACTGAAGCTGACTGCTAAAAAAGCCAGCAGCTAGTTTGTGAGTTGGCACCTCAGAAAACTGTAACGTGGTCTCCGATTCAATTGAAAGGCAGATGGCATAGAAATGGCAACTGACAAACATCGACAGATAAACGGTAAAAAAGCAGAAAATCATTACTATGGATCTACAGTAGGCTTAATTTTAATGATGACTTCGTACCTCTTATTATTGTATTTGGTATCTCGCAGACTTTTTAGTTTGCTGCTGGCATATATCAAGCCCCATTTTTGCCAGCAGACAGACGACAGTGGCACATAGCTAACCTCTTTGTCCCGTCCTGAGTTGCCACCTCACCAAAGAGCAACACATCTCACCTTACCTCACATGAGAGAAGGAACTTCTTAGCACAAGCCCCAGTTGTGTTATTGCAATGAATCTTGTTATTTTACTGTTTCTCTTGATGCTAAGAAACTATTATCAAAGCACCTGTTAGATGAGGAAACACAAACCTCCTGGCCACACTGTCACTCAAGAGCAATCTCATTCACACATCTCCAGCAGTTGTGACACACTTTTCTAAAATCTTACCTCCTAAGATCCAAATACTGAAATCAGCAGAGCAAAACCACTGAAGTGGGTGCTGCTGGACACTATGTTCCTCGTCCCTCTTGGAAAAATTGTCCCATACATTTGTAATCAAAAGAAAAACAAATACAACAGAAACAAGTCAACCAGCACACCAACTGATAGCTAATTACCTCCTGATTTCTTGTACTACCATAGCATTTATCTAAGGCTCATATGAAAGTTGACTGGTTTTAAAATTAACACACAATTAAGAAAATCCTGAATGAAGCCGTACCCATGTCAAGTTTCTGATAAGGCTGAAGAATCACTTGAGCTTTGCTTTTGTAGTTATCAGATGTCACCAGTTCTCTTCGGGGCTCTGCGTGTGAGTACACTGAACCACATTGCAATGTTGCAGCTCTGTAGTTCAGTCTAACAAAAAGGTGATTTCTATTAAACAAAGGCAAGGTTTTTTAAATGTTACCTTGTATTACAAATGTTAACTTGGCCCTTCTTCTAAGTTCATGAAACCACACTGGGGAATGCAAAGCCAAGACGTGAACACCCCACCCCTCACTGACTCTGTGCAGGCTTGTCAAGGCAGTTGGCGAGCGAGAGAGAGGGTGCTCTGCAAGTGGTGACCTGAAGAAAGGATCCAATAGGGATGACATGAAATTACAATAAGACCCAAACTCAAAATGCTGTAGTAGTGAAATGAATGAAAGTTGCACATCTGCGTCCGTACGCATTATTTCTCATCAATTCTGTAATTTCGGTGACTAACAATCACTCTATAAAACAACAATTTCTACTCAAATAGCACCAATAAATGAAATCTTAATGTAGTAAACCCTTTGAGGACACATGCAATGAGACTGAGCTTTTAAGGTTAAAGACATGAACACAAAGGGCTGAAGGGGAGAGAGCAAACTTAACTGGTTTCGTACCAGTGAACCAGACAGTCACTTGTGCCATGACATGACCACTGCCCTAAATGGCATCTTTCAGCAGACTTGAGAAAATGGCTTCCAGGTTTTTTCTACCTCAAAAAAGATGTGAAAACATAAACCATCAAACCATGTATAATCTGTAAATACATTATCATACGTGAAAAAAAAATCCAAATGAACACTGCAGGTCTTGGTACGATCATCTTAAATGGAGGTGACACATCAACTGTGGAATAGTTGGTCTTGAAAGATTTTATGGAGCATAAAAGCATAGAGGAAATGATGAATGCACAAAAATTACTTAAATGACACCACCCCAACCCCAAAAATTGTTATGCAAGTGTTTCTGACTTGAAAATCGAGTGAAATTCCTCATTGAGAGATTCCCACACTTTTTTTGTACTGACAGTGGTAACAGGTCCTGGTTCTGTGCTGTATCTTTTCCCACACTGAGGTGTCTGTATATACTCAGTGGTACATACACAGCCATTTGGGAATTCTTGCCCTAGGCAGTGCAAAAAAATGCATATGTAGGGCTGTGTTTTGCAAAATTTCACTGATAGATTTTGCTGTAACTGCAAAAATGGAGATGATCGAGATTTTTTTTCCCCTGACTGCTCCTTTTCAGTTAAAAATGGCCTCCCCTTAAAACAAGATTTGTCACCGATCATAAAATGACTAGGTTTTATTTAATGAATGTAAAGCTGCTTGTTTCATCTGCAAGCTACGTAGTTTTAATTGTTTGCAACATGCCTGGCTCACAGCAGAAACGCCTGTCAAACACAGGCACAGGAAAGGGCACTCGGCAGCCACGCAGCTCGGGGAATGCCTTCTCTTCTCCAGAGATGTGCCTCACCTCTCCTGGGAGCGAAGGATTCTTCCTTTTAGGCATGCAACGGGGGGTTGTGCGGAGTATTCCCCACGCTAGCTCCTCTGGCAATCACAGATCCAGCTAACTGACATTCACTAAGTGCTCCTTTCTTTTTCTGATCCCTTTAGCACCGTAAAAAGCAGTCTTGCCTAAATTGCCCTCTTAAATTGTAACAGCTACAGCACCTACTGCTGCGTTTGTACAGGTGAGGGGAATGACAAAGAGGGGCCTGTTGGAAGCAATGATTTCTGAAGTGTCTCAGTCTTCGCGGGTTACTCAGGAGTTACCTTGGGGATGCCCTGATTAGCCACAGTTAAGCGGTATGTTGAATACTGCAGCAGTTTCCTGGTTGTGAACTAACTGGACCTAGTTTGCTCTGGTAAATCTAACTAGTATACTGTTCAAATAATTAAAAAAAAAACCCAAACCAGATGTGTCTAACTTATTTGCAAATTACTCAGTTTAATTATTCATACGATAAGATTCTTCACTGAAACATTTGTTACTGTGGAATGAAACAGAGAATAAAGAATTATGAACACCAAATT